TCTTTATTCAAAACATAAAAGCAAATAAACAATAAACATGATTAGCAACTAATATTCGCTGATACAAGAACAATAAACATAGTTAACGACAAATAATTTACATTAATTTTTACTTTAAACTCACATTCACATAAATATTGTTATTGCCAATTAAGTATTTTGGCACAATATAATAAAATTCTAACCCTATGCTGTTATTTATATTTAATATTAATTACAGCTGCATAAAAATTGTTTGTGTTGTCCAAGTCCTCTTTAAAGTTAATCGCATTTTCTAGTTTTTGTTGTATACGTAGGCTTTCTAGTATCATTATCCTTTTTACCCCTCTTTCGATGTTGCAAACAGAGTGAAAGCGAAGCCGAAGACGAAGATGAAGACGAAGCCGAAGACGAATTGCTTGCGTTGCGGGCAAGCTGGCGAGTGTACATAGTGGAAGATGAATGATATGAAGATTTGTTTCTAAATAAAACCCTTTTTTAGATAAAATCAAAAGAAAATAAAGAAAAAACAGCAATTCATGAAATAATTTGTATAGGACAACTTTTGGAGAATTTCGCCACTTGAATTATGTGTTACGGCAAGATGGACAGATATTTTTCGAATATACAAGAATGCCAATTAATACGTTTGATTACATTTTGCCAAAAATTTAGCCAATTTCTTAAAAAACGCGTTTTTTCACAATTGCAAACAGTTAAATAAATTGTAAACAACTCATCACAGCAAGCGATTCGTCTTTGAAAACAGTACCGCACTGTTTCAAGCTGACCGCTTGCGCAACATCTTCATCTTCGTCTCCGTCTTTGCTTGTACTGTGATCACTTTCACATGTTTACTACTGCACTGTTTTTCGTCTTCATCTTCGGCTTCGCTTCCACTCTGTTTGCAACCTGAGTGTTTGTGCTTCGTCAAGTGTTGTGCAAGTGCTGTTGTCATCTTTTGGTTTCTCTCATCCGCTCTATGTTCGTTACTTCTTGTACCCAATGATATTTTTGTTGTGCCTACGTAGCATTTGTTACAGCTTTCTGTATCATTCCCCGTTGCATTCTATTTGATACACCACATTATGTTGTTGTTCTTTCGGAATTCTGTCTTTTGTTTTTGTGAACAGTTTGCTTATTGTGTTGTGCGGTCTGTGAGCATATATCGTCGGGTAGAGCCATTAATTATCACTCAAATCACCCATGTAGACAGAAAATCAACACCGCTGCTAGCCTGATCAAGAAAGTACACATACTCAGCAACAAGGAGTTCGCGGAGGAGAACAGAAATAAAATTAGAAGCATACTGCACAAAAATAGCTACCCGAACGTGCTAGTTAATAATTTAATTGAAACAGCGATAAACAAAAGTAGTCAAACAAATCATAACAAAGAATTTCAGGCAAAACACACTAATAATAAAAAGTACATTGGAATTACTTACGTACCTGGACTAACAAATAACCAGGCGCTCAGGAGAACAATAAAGAACGAAGACATTATATATGCTCACAGACCGCACAACACAATAAGCAAACTGTTCACAAAAACAAAAGACAGAATTCCGAAATAACAACATCATAATGTGGTGTATCAAATAGAATGCAAGGGGAATGACTAGTGATAGAACGATACGAGTACCGAGTACAGAATATCGATACTTTTCATTAGTACTGAGTAGTATCGAGAACTCGATACTTTTCATGAGTACTGAGTAGTATCGAGAACTCGATACTTTTTCACAAGTACTGAGTAAATATCGCGAATTCCGGAAAGTATCGACGAGTTAAGAACTTCTTTAAGTAAATTTTTTTTAAAATTACCCAATAAATATTGTGGCGAACGTTCGAATAACTTCAATATCCAATATCTATGTTATGAAAATGAACATAAAGCTCATTTACTTCAATACTGTCATAACTCAAAAAACCGAAAACCTGAGAAACACGCCTTTAAAGCTTTTAATTCACATATCGTCATCCTTATGCCAGAAGCATGAATGTGCAAATTTATCAGTTTAGAGTTATTGGGTTGACTTGATTAATCTTCGGATTTTCTATGTTATACCAAAACCCAGAATACCATGCGAACACGGAAAGTAAATATTTTGCAATTGTAGAGCTAAGTCTCGCAAAAAAAAACTTTCAAACTTGATTTCCCAAAGGACACCGACGCTCCAGCTCTGAAAGTATTCAACTCGGAACCCTCTGGTGGTAGCAGGGGTAAAGGAAGGCTCCCACTGAGATGGAAAGACCAGGTGGAGAAGGACTTGGCTTCACTTGGAGAAATGACTGGCGTGCTTTGCTGAACTCGGCCAAAATCGCTTAGGCGGTTACAGCGCCAAATAAGAAGAAGAAGAAGTTCGTGCAATAGGTTATTCCAGCGGAAATGTTCAAGGTCTAGCTATAAAGAGAATCGACTATTTGCTCGTTAAAAGATAATCTTTAATTAGGTAAGAATAATGTAACTATCGAATATTATTTGGCAAAGGTCTGTTGAAAAAACAGGATGCATCTGTACTTTTTATTTTACTTTTTCTTGGATAAGTGTACTAATTTTTTGTTTCAAAAAATGGCTTATTATGATTAAATGCCCTGTTTTCTTTTATTACTTAGCAGAAAAACACACCAAATAATTTTGAACGGTTTTACTATACCAATACTGCGCTCGAAAACAACAACATTCATTTTAATTTTGTGATAATTGTGAAAATTTGGACGCAGCGAAATGAGAATAAAATGGAATGTGAAAAAGTTGAGTTAAAAATTACTAACTTTTCCATTTCTTATTTACCTAAACCACATAATTTACTCACCTAGATTATTTATTAAAAATAATTGACATCCGAATTCGCATCTGCAGGTATTTTTAATAAAGCATTAAGTTTGAATATATTTAAATTGCTTAATATAGCAGAAAAACTGATCACGGTGGCACAGAGAAGAAACTTAACTTTTCCTTGAGTTGTGAGAATAACAAGCACAAATTTGACGGCTAGTAATCTGAGATTTTCCTGTGTAAAGGGGGTGTTTAACAAACGAGCTTTGATTGAGATTATTTGTATATGTAACCATACTTTTATGCTGATAATCCACTACAACCCTATATGGCGAAGGTGCTTAGGGGACGCAATAGATACTATGTATACTTGTATTCTAGCAATTTAAAAACTGTAAAAATACACATAAGCCATGAATTTGAAAAGGTAACTTCTATAATCTACGAGTATACACAAAAAGGTGTTACGATAAAAGTGTCATGAAAATCGCCTAAACAAATATGTTTGCTTATGAAATAATATAAGCATAGGTATTAAATATGAGAAAATGTTTCATAAATTTACAGTGGCGTGTCAATGACATTAGCACACAGGCCAAAAGTGAGTCAATGTTAGAAGACTTGTGGAAATAATGCCATTCACTTTAGTTCACTTCGGAGAAGATCAAAAAAATATTTTTTTAAGATTCTGATATTAATGCATAGTTGAAAAGTGAATTAATTTAGAACATTTTAAAAATCGTGTAAGCTTTACGCTGATGTGAAATAATCTCGGCGGAAATATCGTCCATGCACACTATTTCTTATCGTCCATAAACAATATTACCATTTCGAAAGCGCGATAAACTCCTTGGCCGTTAGTGCTTTTTAAAAAAAATATGGACAAAATCCACTTTTAACATACATATGTCGCTCCGTTCGCGCACGCACAAATCCCCAACCGCCCCCTTTCAAAAAAATATTACCTAAATCCGCTGTTTACATATTTTATAAATATTTTTCAATTTTTTTTATGGCATATGTACAGTTAGTCAATAAAGTTTAGGTACAGCGAATTTTTTACAATACGGGCAACTATTTTTTAAATATTTTATTTTTCGCACATTTTTTGTAAAAATATGGTTAGTTCTACAACAAAAACCCCAAAAATCAAAGTTCCAAACCTTGTGCAAAATTGCACTTTTTATTTACGCTCTCTACAAAAAAAAAATTTAGTATGCAGTTTTTAGCCCATTCAATTTAAGTATAATAAAGTGCAAGTATGAGGAAGCTAGGACTTACCATTGATTTTTGGGAAATTGTTTTGTTGAAGGTGTCGCACTTTTTTTTCATATAAAAAAATTATCAAACATTATTTTATATGGAGAAAATGAGCGACACTTTCAACAAAAAAAAATTGCTAAAAATCAATGGTAAGTCCTACCTACCTCAAACTTGCACTTTGTTGAATGGGCTAAACGCACAGTGGATCCTTCTCATAGAGATGGCGGCCAAAAATAGAAGGAGGTTACCTAGAGCAACGAAATTTTGCAGGCTTACTTTAAAAAAAAAATTAATTAATTATCCACAAAAACTCGAAAAAATTGGACCAAGGACACGCCCACCTCCCATATATCCTTAAATTTAAAATATGAATAAAATGGTTAATTTTCAGAGAAATTTGAAAAAAATTGGCAGAACACCGTTTTTAGTAAGGATAAAATAGCGTATACAATTGTTCAGAAATCGGACCAAAATATTGACACTTGACAGTTGAGTAGGATAGGCTATATATTTACTTCACTATCCCATTAACATCCCAAGAAATGCTAAACTTAAATGTTAAAATAAATTAAATGAATGCATTCCCGCCCAAAACGCGGTCAAAAATATAACACAAGCTTTTTTTTTAATTAAACACTTATTATTATTATTTTTATTTGTTTTAACTTACAAGATAAAAAAGAAAATGTAAACAAATTCTCACAAAAATAATATGTTTGGTAAATTAGATTTTTAACAATTTTAATGCATTTTCTGATAAAAATGTTTTTTTTTTAGTAAGCAATTTTCTCACATTTGAAATAAGTGGGTCGGAAGTTAAAAGAAGTCTATTCAAAAGGTCCTTATTAGTGACAACCCGAGACATCAACCATAGTTAAACGTAAGTTGTTAGTGACTGTCCATTCTTTATCATTAATAGTTATAGTTAAAGGCTGCAAGGCATTTATTTTTTCAGTGTAATATTGTTCTTAAAAAACAGATACAGCAGTAGTTTCTTTTTTAAATTGAAATCTTAATGGGCGACAGTATCGTGTTGAGGACGGTCGAGGATTTTTCCAAACAACAACATCTTCATTTTTGTTATTTTTTAACTTGAGCTGCAATGGCACGTAACTTGTAACAAACAAATCGCTGTCTTTAGCATAAGGATCATGAAAGCTTTGTTTGTACTCGCTTTGGCCTGTACTTCCATCAAATCCCCATTTCCCTACTAACTGTAGGCTTTTATGTAAGTCATTGTTGAGAGTGTCAAGAACGTCTTTCTGCGAAGTAAGAATTCTTGTCGCCGTGTGGTTAAGTAAAGTCTGTAAGTCCACTTCGGCACCTGTCTCGGTGACACTAATTTTGTCGGATTCTGGATAGCAGTTTTCTTTTTCAGTCTTTATAATTTTGTAGCTAGGCAGTGCATTTTTTTAATCTTGGTCTTGACGAAATTCTGAACAAGTAAGTACTGCTTCTTTGTAAACTTTGCTTCCACAAAAAGCGCCAGTACTTCACAAGGCATTACACTCATCGTGTTTTCTTCTCCCAAATTCGAATTACATGAACTATTACGCAAAGCTGTGGCAATTGATTCGTCGGATTTCGAAATTTCAGCCACACGTCTTCGTTTACTCCGCGAAGAACATTCTTCAAAACTTTTTTTAGGACGACCTCGTTGTTGTGATGTACTTGGATAATCTTCATCACGACAACTTAAAAAGACAGTCTCAGATTTGCCAAGCCAAGAGGAATGATTTCTCATAATTGCATTTTTTCTGCTTGCATTTTCTTTCCAAAATTCTGCTAACTTCTTGCATACTAAATAAATTCGGTCATAGAGGGGATCAAATTCAATAATCTCAACACCTTGATAAGGCCAACTGCATTTGATGTTTTCCAGGATTTGGTTGGCTTGAGTTGACCATGTTGTATTACTTTTTCGACTTTCAAGCCATTTATCAAATAAAAAATTGCGTGTAATTACGCATTGATAGCCAGCACCTATATATAAATATAAAATATATAAATAAATAAATATAAAAGGCTTTCAGTGATAACGAATTAAAGTTGCTCAAGCAAGAATCATATCTGACACCCCTGCTTTAATCTATCATAACTCGGAAAAAGGAAAAAACGGGAGGAAACTTCCTTATTGTATGAAAAGGTAGAACAATATTCTTCATTTTAGTACCGAATTTGTAGAAGGCACTCGGAGGCAAACCATCTAAATCTAAAATTTACTTTAGACTAAGCTAAAAAAAATGACAGAAAGTGCTTCGCGCAGGGGTGCTATTACATTGACGCTTTAAGTTATTAAACAATAAAATGTATGTTTTTAGAGAGTACTCACCTTCTTGTTTAATATCCATAACAATTTAATATTGCTCACACTTTCTTAACAAAAGTTATCACTTTCCCAAGTTCTCCATTAAAAAACTGCACCGATAAGCGAGCTCAATGTTAAATTATATGTGAAGTTTGAATGGCTATAAAGGAATGAAAAAAAATAATCCGTTAACTTTTATTTTGGTTTTGGTTTGGCGGGAGTGTGAACAATCTTATCGACACTTTGAATTCTTGATTAATGACATTTGATTTTTTTAATTTTGGCCAATGGCGGTACCCACAGTGGAGCTGTAAATAAAAAGTGCAATATTTGAATGAAATTTTGCAGAAAATTCTTTAATTTTGCACAAGGTTTGGAACTCTGATTTTTGGGTTTTTTGTTGTAGAATTAACCATATTTTTATAAAAAATTATCAAAAAATAAAATATTTGAGAAATAGTTGCCCGTGTTGTAAAAAATTCGCTGTACCTAAACTTTATTGACTGACTGTATATCTCAAATATACTTATTTACAAGTTCAAAGGCAAATAACTCAACTTTTTTGTGTCCTTATTGCAGGCGCAAATAATCGCAGGCCATGACACAATTTTTCATATAATAAATTGCACTATATCGAATTGAATTTGATATTTATAAATGAAATATTTGTTGGTTGATGTATTTGCTTGTAAGTCTTATATAAATGAATTAATAAATGCTCATTATTGTTGCTATATTAAAACGCGTATTAACGTCTTTGTTTTTCTGAAGGTTTGGATGGTTATATACTTTGATGAAATTAACACACATTCATTTTGTAAATTTAAGTCTAAATAACAAAATTTATTTTTCTACCATTACATGCTTCACTTTTAGAGGGTTAATCAATTCCAAAGTCACTTAATGTCAATTGACGTTACGGCTGTATACTAATGTCATTTATACAATCCACACCCGATTTTTTGATTGACGAGTTCGCCAACCAAATTACGTATTTGCTGCTTACACTGAGCGAAAAGCACAATGGTTTTTTTCAACCAAGTTATGGTTTGGTTTCTTCATGGTTAATAAACCGATTTTAAGAAATGTGATTCAAGATGAACATTTGAGAACAAATTCGTGCGTATGGCAGTGGCTGAGCGTGCAAAAATGCTTGCTGTTATTTGTTGCCTTCCAGCAGTACGAATGCCATCAGCGCGATACATAATTTTATTTTTGTTTCTGTTTTCGGTTTTTCTTAATTACGTAAAAGCCTGTGTGAAATGCAGAACCAAATCAAACGACGAAGAAAATTGATTAAAGTTGAAAATTTGCAGACTCATTTATAAAGCGGTTGTAGCTGAGTGTGCAGGGATGCTTGCTGTTATTTGCTAACATTCAGAAGATGACGTTTCAAATATCGTCAGAGGCAACTTGTTAAAATGATTGTTTTATATCTCCGAATTATGAAAAAGCATCTGTAAAGTGCGGAACATAAGCGTATTCAACCGAAAAAATCGACAACCAAAAGTTTGGTTAATGTAAACAAAAGTGTGGTGGGGTTAATATTACCAAATCATTGTTGTAAACATCAACCAAGGCATTGTTAATATTATCCAAAAATCGCATTGATTCCTTTTCAAGTTTGAATTTGTTAATATTTACCAATATTTGGTTGATTTTCTGCTCAGTGTAGGATATCACCTAGGCAACTTGAGATAGATTCGTCTTCTGAAGATGACGAGGATGATAAATCTAAAGAGCTGCAAGCGGCTATAGCTGAAAGATTTTATTAATTTCTTTAATCAGTACGCTAATGTCCTGATTTTTCAAAATTTGTAATGAATTTTCAATTCAAACAAAGTACTTTAGGATTTTCTTAAGCTTTTTACATAACGTTGGAACTTCCTTAAACTGTACTGTAAGAAGTAAGAAAAAAATGATTTAATTATAGCTGACATGTTTCAGATAATGGGCATATCGCCGGGTCGTTACGTACCTTGCGATAATATGATGGAGCTTAAATTATTTAAAAAGAAGGCTGACGTTTTTTTGTCGAGAGTTGCTAGTTATCTCGAAAATAACTTTCAGTTTAATAACAATAAATTTGAAGATTCGAATAG